AATTACATGCCTCCTGGACTAATTGACCGCAATCCTCATTTAATATCCACGTTTGACAAAATCTAAATGGTTTTGATTTACTCACAACCCGCAAAGTTAAATCTAAAATTAAAGCATTATGATCTGAACCCCATCTAGGGCCCAAACTTAAAATTGCTGATGGGAATTAGCCAGTTAGGCAAGACCAGGACTCTATCCAAGTTCTTTGCTTGGCTACCCTTACCCTTAACAAAGCTAGACTAGGTGACCCCCTATGCAGGTACCTTAATCTCCTACATGTCCAAATCTCTTAGAAGATTAATGAACTCAAGGGTCACTTTATTTTTGCTAGGACCTATACCCTAAACTCAAGGGTCTCTTCTTATTACCAAAGGCAGATCAAGATTAGAGAGATGATTATAAACATCTTGCCAAAATGTGCGCTAGAGCTTTTTATTCGGCTCCCCATACATGCAAATCAGGACCCAAGGTGGAGAGTTTGGACCAACTATCAACTTTAAAATTGATGAAATTTTTAAGAGGAAAAGATGACAGAGATATTAAAACCTACTTTCTAGAAGATCAGCAGCCCTCCCGCAAACCTGTCTGAGGGGACACTCACAAAATTAGGGTATATCAGCAGAGATACCAAAATAGACGACTTAGAAGACTGAACCTTTGTTTCACTTAGAAAGATTAAGTCCGGGCTCCACCTAGAAAATAGGTCTTTTAAACCTTGAACTGCTGGTGGTCGTCTACTTCTCCAGTAGTTCCAACTACAAATTCTCATGGCCCTGTGTGGCTATTACGGGCCAACCACCACCGCCCATTTTATTGCAATTTAGAATCCACTCACCTATAACGTAGAGTCTGCCTCCATTCCTTTTGTAGCTCTTGCTCCCCCAAACGATCCTCCTACTTTTTTACTAGGTAATAAGAAAAAACCAAGTCAACTCATATGTACCCCAAAACAAAAACTATAAATTATTTACCTTACATAATCAAATAGGTCCCCCATAGTCCCCACCCATATCTTTCAAAAAACGATTACATGCTCCTTGCACCTGACCCGACTCCATATCTCAAATTCTAATCCCCACTTCTATTCTCTGATGTTTCCTTGTTCTTCCACCAATCACCTCCTCCTTTCTTCCTTTCAACTTACTCAAATTTTTGTTAGCCTTCTGACGTATGTGGGGAAACCTCCAATCTAGATTCTGATACTCCTCCTTTAATTGGTTTACTTCATTTTTCCAAGTTTCTAACTGCTGGACTGCTAGACTCGTCATTACTACCTCTTGCAACTTGACTCGAGATCTCTACATCAACCGCCATGTCCCATCTACCGCCACCCCATCCTTCCATATTCCCCTATTATCTCTCCCTCCTTAGTTGTCACTGGCCACCGTAAATCAAACTTTCCTCTCCATTGTTCCTCTCTTTTCATCCTTCCACTAAAAGTCAAAGGGAATACTTTCGGAAAACCGGCCTCTTCCACTCCTCCCTCATAGTTTGCTCCGCCTTCAAGTAGGGCCCAGGGTCCTCCATCATTATGGAATTAAAGAATGTATCAAGTCCCCCACCACTAGAAGGGGACCTGCATTACAATTCCTGAAATGGTGCCCTACCTACCACAATTGTAGCAAACACATGGGAGTTTCTCATATAACAGATATTTGAACTTTTGTTCAGATGTAGTTATCTTGCTCCTAAGACCCCCCCCAAAAATCCCTAACTTCTCCCCGATTGCATTACTAGTATCTATGTCCATATAGTCGTAGGGGAGGTCATGGATCTGAACCCATACATCCGCTTCATGTAAAGAGATAGAAGAAGAGACTTGTCTTGCATGCCACTCCTTCAACAAGAACCATTGCTCAAAAACGTACCACGGACCATCCATCAGAATTGAGTCAAAATCACTCATCTCCTTGAACAAAGCTCTAAAATGACCTTTTTGCAAAGGAAGGACTCTTACCATTTCTTCATCCATTTTCCAAGCTACTATCAGAGCTCTCTTCACGTCTTGGAACTGAAACAATGTCTTGGGAAACAGATGTCCTATAACACATTATTGCCATTCCTCGTATCGGGATAAAGCCAGATGACAGAGAGGGAGACGTGTCTTAGTCTGAAGTGGGGATTAGTTAACACAATGTTTGGTTTGAAGGAAAAGGTAGGGAAAGGAAAGGAAAGACAAGAAAACCAAGACAAGGTTTGTAAAGGTTTCCCTACCTTTTCCTTCAAACCAAACAATGCCTAAGAGTACAAAAAAAGTTGGTTATGAGCAATATTTTGGGAATGAGGAGAGGTTTTAGGAATTAGGACTTTATGAGAGTTTTAAGAACAATAAATTAGGAGTGTGGAGAGGTTATCCATACTAAGTGTTAGTCACATGGATAACCCAATATCCAAAAAAATAATTTTCCAAATTTTTAGAATTGCACAAATCTAATAAATTTTTCAAATTTTTGAAAAGTACACTAATTTATATTTTACTTTCCAAAAAAAAACAATTAGAAACCTAATAATTTACTGAAAATACAAAAAATAAATTTCAACAATTATTTACAACATTTTGAGGAAATTTTCCAAAAGTACATTAATAAATAATAAATTTTGGAAAGTAAACTAAATTTATAATTTAATTTTTTAAAAATTAATTTTCTAAAGTTGGATTTTTGTTGATTTTTTGAATATTAATTTATTCTAATTTAATAACATATTCAAAGAAATTAAAATTTAATTTACTCTAATTTAATTATGATATTCAAATAGTTTTATAATGAAATTTACACAAATTTTCAATAGTTTTCCAGAATTGCATTAATTTTCATTGTTACTATTATTATTAATGAATAAAAAAACTCGTGTATTACATGGCTCGGACCTATATGGTTCAAGTGGTGTAATAACAGGCTGCTAACAAATTTTACAACATTTTTTTGGTAATTTTCCAAAAGTACACTAATAAATAATAAATTTTGAAAAGTACACTGAATTTATAATTTAATTTCCTAAATGCTCTCTCACTCTCTCTCTCTCTCTCTAATAAGATAACATCTTGGTAATAGTGTGCAACTTTAAATATTAATGATATATAGCTTTGTTAATGACGATAATTATTATTTTATATTTTTAAAATCAAAGAAAATATAATATTCGTATTTATTATTATTTTATATAGCTTTGGTTCTATGCTGATTTTTATAAAACAAATATAATAAATTTCTAAACTTTTAATAGTTTCTAGATAAAAACTTGCTAAAAATTAATATTCGTATTAACTTTAGTAATTTTTATTCATTATAGTTATTAGGTTTCAAATTATATAAATTATTATTACTATTTTTATTATGATTATTATTATTATTATTATTATTATTATTATTATTATTATCATCATTATTATTATTGTATGTCGTGTATTACACGTTACATAGGGGTGAGCAAGACAAACCGAAAAATTGACTGAAACCGAACAAAAATTTAGTTAAACAAACAAGTTGGTTCGATTTTGTTTCGTTATTTTTAAAAAAATGAAGGTATCGGGTCGGTTTTGGTTAACCAATATAGAAAACAAACAATTAATCGACTGACTGGTATATATATTTCTATATATTATATATTTATGTTTATTGTATATTTACTGTATATTATAAATTAATAAATTATATATAATATAATATATTTTTTATTATTTAAAATATAATATTATATATATTTAACTTTTTATAATATATATTGTAAAAACAAAAAAAACTAAAAAACCGATGAACCAACCGCCAATTAATCGAACCAGTCAACCGGTTAACTGATTGGCTTTGGTTCGGTTTTAGTATCGGTTTTCCATAAATCGGTAGTACCGATTCGGTTAACCGAACCGTGAGCACCCCTAACATTATGGGTTTCTAGACAGACCTATTTAGCTTGTGTAGTATGGGCACTATGCACAATAAAGGTCTCAACTCATAAAAATTATTAATTAATTAATCCAAAGGATATTAATAAAAAATATCTAATAAAATAAAAAAGAATAAACAAAACAAAATACAACATTAGAACACGGGTTGTATTTGCAATATATGAAACCCATATTTAAATCATAATATTATTAAAACTATCAATCAATATTTTTTGTATTTAAAATTCTTATTTCTATTTTAAGTGGAAGTTTAGTGAATTATTAAGTTAATAATTTTTAAAATAATATTTTATTTTTTTTTGTTTGATGTTTGATTGTTTAACCTAAACCTATTTATATTATTTGACTTATTAATATTTTACTTTATTATGTTGTATTACTATTCCCTTCGTCCCTGTTTCTCTTTCTCTTTCTTAAAAGTCTTTTTAAATGTAATAATAACATGCATTAAAAAGGCTCATATCTGCTATGTAGTAGTTGTTCCCACATGACTTATTAGCTGTGCCTTGGGAATATCTCCCTTTTGATTCATAGGGAGATGTTCCCAATACATAATGGCAATGCTCCGTGTGTATAGATGTGGGTTCAACTAGTGGGTAGCATATTTGGAGTGGCATTAAGATAAGAGGTCTTTAAAAACCCAAAAGTCTCTCTAATAGTATACAATTTTATTAATCTAATCAAAATAGTTAATGATTACTTTTTTATTTTTTTAAAATAAAAAATACAAAAAATAGATAAATAACTTCTCTTAAACCAGAAACATGATACATAGACGTCTAATTATATATATATATATAATCACACCAAACACAAACAAGCAAAGTTACTTACAAAACGGAATAATGCATAAACCCAGATGGACATGGGTAGGTCACTAGGTCAGGCCCATGTGTAACGCTCTGATCTGCTACCTACAAGGCCACAAACTATTCGTCCTTACCCAAAGAATGAGTCACATCTCCTCCCCACGTGGGCCCGCTCCACAACGCCCCACAGCGCATGCCCGGCTTTTATTGGGAATATCTCCCGATTACAGTATCAGAACCGATGATAAAAATGTTTCCGATATACGGCCATCGGAAAATGTTTTCAATACACGGCGGGGATATGTTGTGGGGCGGCCGCTTGTGGGTAAGAGATGTAAACTCGGAACATATCCCCAATGCGCAGATGTAATCTCTTGTGGACAGGGATGTGGAATGTGGGGAGCAGATCCGAGTCCATTTTGGATGTGGGGTTAGATCAACATTCATCACAATGTCAATAACAAGTCCACCGTTCAAAAGATGCACAGCGCCGGTGATTGAGGTTAACCGTTGAAGTTGGAATAAATGCCTGGAAACGTTATCGATTGAAGAGAAGATCAGTTAGTCAATACTGGTCCTTTTTAATTTCTTCTCATGGATTTGCGGTTTTCTTCTTGAGCGAACAGTTCGATTTGATATTTTTTAATGCTTTTTTTGTCACTGAAAAATCCAGAAGAAAGAGATCGAGAGAGATGGATTTGAGATGTGTCCACTGTGGAGTTGCAGTAAGAACCCTATTCGTGCAATACTCACCTGGAAATATTCGATTAATGAAATGCGTGAGCCTCCTCTAGACCTCTAATTTCAAACTTATTGTTTTTTGTTTTGCTTCCCTCTCTCTCTCTCTCTCTCTCTCTCTAAGACCCCTCTTGCTATTTTCGCTTTGACAGGAAAATTGCAAGGAAGTCGCAGACGAATATATCGAATGCGAGACCATGGTCTATATTATTAATTCAAAGCATTGATTCTTTTATCTTTGACGAAAGCTTATATCCCACTGTATGGTCTGTGAATGGCGCTACTGTTCTATGTAGATCCTTCTGATCGATTTGATCTTGCACAAGCAAAAAGCTTACCGGCATTTACTATATAACACACTGAACCGACACACCGTCGATTTTGAGGTATATGGGAATGTTTTTCACTTGAATTTAATTTATTTTTTGGTTTTGTTGATGAGCAACAGTAGAAGGTGTTTTATTAATGTAAAAGGAAATTGCATGATATCCAGCATTTGGATAAGCAAATACACATAAGAACAAGTTCAATACTGACTACCAACTGATGGTGCCTCAGTTGGGTAGGTTCTCTGACTCGTTGGAGTAGAGACCTGGGATCAAATCCCGCTGCCACCAGGGTTGGGGGTTTAGGGAGGGGGGTAGGCTACCCCCTGTTGTGTAGCCTCATGAAGCAAAAAAAAAAAAGAAGTTCAATACTGACTACCCCTGTTCAGGTACAAGAGTTATGAACTTTACAATCCAAATCCTCACCCAGGTTTTCCCCATACAAGATTGTTCTTTGTGACTCCTAATTTGGCTAGGAATCAGCCAGAGTATTGGTTGATCTAGGTGCCTACCTAGATGGGCGCATGCCATGAAGCATTCAGTTTTGCAGCCAGTGCTCTAACTTTTATAGCTTGGTGGGCGGGTCTGATAGGGATTTTAAAAAATGAAATACATGAATAAGAGTCATTAGGCCCTGTCCGTGGTATACAGCTAGCAGCCATTATTTGTCATCACTGTTAGATGAAACTGTTAAAAGGATGCTCTTGTACTACAAATTGTATGTTGGTTCCCTTAAGACCAATCTATATATAGCATTTGGAGTCCTTTAGGTTGAACATTGTGATGTTCGATATTAGTCTGTGATACCAATATTGTTGTTAGAATACTTATGTTACTTGTTATGACAAGCTAGATTAATATCCACGTTAACACTAGTAGTGGTTGTTTCTTGCAACTGTGCAGGGCATATGGTGGAAATCCAGTTTTGTTTTTCTTCTCCTAGATGCATGTAATCCTACCATCATGATGTTATTCTGCTTGACTGTAGTATTATTTGCTAATTCTCATTGTCATTGTTCGGTATCTAAAGAACCTTAGCATTGAAGGCAGGATTTTGGTTTTACGTAGAAATGGAGAATATTGGGGTTTGTCTAGGAGCTCTTGGACGTCAGCTTGGGTATGTGGGAAGGTATAAACAAGCATGACTTGTGATTTTTCATTGTCATGATTCTGCATTTTGCTTTGTTCTAAAGAAATGGGTTCTGCACGTTGATTGCAGATGCTAATGGATGTCCTCTTTGAGAACCTTGTGTTTATCTGTTTTTTATCTATTGCAACAAGGATCTTACTAAAATCATTGCCTGAAGTGGCCAGGTAAAGTGTTTTGAATTCTTTAAACTATTTGCTTTACTAAGGATAATACCTCAGCTTAGCAATTTTGAGGATTTTATCAGAGTTTGCGGAGGTGCATCTGTACCTAAAATGGTCATTGGTGATACATAGATAGAACATGAGAGGGCTGCAAAAGTGCCAATAGCATGGCAGATGAATTAGCAAAGCAAGGGGTGGGGAGAACTCAAATGTTTTGGGCACAATTGTAATTAAAAAGTATTGATAAAAAAAAAAAACAATTGTAATTAAAAAGAAAGAGGAGAGATTATATAAGCTATCTCTCAAAAGGATCCTGTGCATGTATACTTTTTTAAACGTGATTGTCATGTGCCAACCACCAGACTTTTTTTTTTTTTTTAAATTTGGTCAGTTACAGGTACATAGGTTGACTTGACCCGATTCTGCAACTTGACAGTCGGGAAGGACAGACATATGTGTTTATAGTGGGTCAGGGTGGGTTATCACCTCCTAACAAGCATTTATAGTGGGTCAATATGGGTGGGTTGGTGTTCAACCCACACCGCCCAACATGCCCATTTGCCACCCCTGGAGCATTCTACTATTCCCAATTGCTGTCTTGGTGATTCTTTTTTATCTTCTTTCCCTAAACCTATTTTATAGCTCTTTGAATTGAAACTAGTCTTTTATGTTTCCATTTTACCCCATTGTTGAGTCACAATGATGTGAAAAAATACCTTATTACCTAGTCCCCTTAACAACTAATTATGCATTTATGCTATTTGAAGTTTAAACATTTTAGCATATGTAGAACTTTTACAAGGCTATAACCTTATTACTTTTGTGAGATAATGATTGCTCTAATCAATTGAGCTAACTGGCTTTTTGAAATACATACATGCATGTGCCTTACTTTTAACCTCAAGCTATGGAATCTCATGTACTTTAGTTGTACTTCTTGCTATTAAAACACTGTTATATTTAGCAAGGTTTAAAATGTCAGTGTTGATGGAAATGCCAGTTCTCCAAATATAAGAAACATGTCATAAATGTCAGAAATATCGTATGGAAATATTGTAAAAGTTCTAGACATGGTGGAAACATTGTAAAATATGCAAAATATAGAATGATATTTTATAAAATGGTATGAGAAGCTTAGGCCATAGGCACTCCTTTTTAAATAATTATCTTGTTCCAAATCATTAAACAAAGCTAAGAAACTAAGGTTATATACAAAAGAATACGTTCTAAAGTTGCTCTATAAACCTTAAGATTCAAAGCTTCATGATAGATTGAGTTAAAGCAAAATTTAAACTCATAAAGTGTAAATAGTTGTAATAGATCAACTAAATAATCTATTACACAAACAAAAAATAATATTTAACTTCACATTTGAAATGAATATTGAGCTAGCTCAAAGTGGTAATCATGTAAGTTAGGTAAGTGTTAGTGGTGTTAGTGAAGGGGTACTTCAGTCTTTGTACTTGTTGAGAATGCTGATGTGTACTGTTATGTTAGTTCGAGTGCCTCTTACTTAAAGAAGGGCACTCAAGTCTTTTTCAATWAGTCAATAATATAATAATAGGTCTGGCCGAATCAAGGGATTGACTTTTTCCCTAATTCGAACCAGCCTTTCTCTCTTTTCTCTCTTCTCTCTTTTCTCTCTTCTCTCTTTTCTTCTTTCCTCTCCTACTTCTTGCTGTCTACTTTACTCTACAGTCAACGAACAAGACAGAATTCTATGGCAGGTCAAACTTCAACAGTAAGCAATAACATGTTACTCCATATTATCCACAATATTGTTGCCAACTTATGTGATAACACTATCTCTTGTGCTCCACATAGTGCTAGTAGTGTTTATTGGGGAATATGTCAATTCTAGTAAAATTTCATGCTGCTACCCATGGAAGTGGTAATGGAAATATGTTGTGGAAACTGTTTCTTTTACTCCACATAGTGCTGGTGGTGTTCATTGGGGAAAATGTCGATTCCGGTAAAATTTCATGTCGCTATCCATGGAAATGAAAATATATCATGGAATTAGGGAAATTATGGTTGCAATAGATTTCTTTTATGCCCAACTATATGTTTGACATCATATTTCATTAAGAAAAGATTCTAGTTTTCTGGATGTCACTTGTTTTTTCTAACATTGGTTAAACCTATAAGAAATCTCTCTTAAATGCTGGACCTCTTGTGCACAGTAAAATTGTAGTTATATCTCAACTGAACGCAATTAGGTATTTGTTGTCAAGATGGACATTAGTTTATATTTTCTGTTTTCTTGAAAGCTGAACTGATGGCTCTGTTGTAAGGTCTTCAATTAGCAAAACAATTGGGTTATTGACAGGTGGAGGTGAAGGGAATTCAAAGCTAATTATCTCATGGGCAAATTGTAATAGTCATATCCTGGGGACTCTCAGACTTACTTTTAGGGAAGTGGAAAGTATCACAAAGGAAATAAATGCTGGATACAAGTGGGTAAGGACTGCGAATGGGATGGCTAATTCCCTTGCTAAGCAAGGGGTTATGAGGCAGCAATTGTTTTGAGCTTCTATGTAATCTCATCTATAAGCAAATATAATAAAACATTTTCTCCTGCTGATAAAAAATATTTTCTGTTTTTTTATTTATTGTTGGGCTGTTGTGTCACTTTGGGCCTTGGCCATTTATTATTATTTTTTATGTTTAGAGATTATATTTATGTAAGAGGGATAGCACCTAGCTGCCCATGATTTTCAGATTTCCCAAATCATTTCTCTCTTTTCTCTTCTCTCATCTTCTCTCTTTTCTCCTTTACACCTCTAAAGTGTTGCAGCAGCCTTAAACTTCTTCGTTTCTTTTCTCCTTTCAGGTATAAATAATTATGCAAGTTTTGGTAACAGTATCAAGGAGCAATAGATAATTTTTTTCATGTTCATTTATATGATCAACTTCATATTTACACTGTTTCCGAATGATATAGTGGCTGTTCTCAGACTGAAACCCATTATCCATAACGGGTTGTTCTGAGACTGAAACCCATTATCCAAAAGGATAGTGGCTGTTCTCAGACTCAAATCCTTGTCCTCACTCCTCACATTTATTAGCCTGAGATTTTACCATTGCACCAAGCAATGGATCCTATGTCCAACTTCATATTTCAATACCAAAAGATTGGTATTCTGGGCAGCATCTTGCATGTGTACTCTAATTTCAGCAAAGTCATATATGAGAAAAGCTTGCTAATTGGGTCAAGGAAAGATATCATGTACACAAACCACGTACCTTTCTTCCATGCATAGGTATTATGCATATGATCTGAACTGTTTACTGTATAGAGGACTCTATGGACTGACCACATTTTCAATCCTCATTCCATATCAGCCCCGTTACCTATCTTCTATTGGCATGTTTCTTGTTGAGTTTGGGCTGATGATAAGTTATTTGGTCCAGCTTTGTTTTATTTTTATTTTCTTTATTCAGTTAGGAAGTTATTGGGCCTTAGGCCCATTAGTTTATGCTAAGTTAAGTTGTGACTGTTCAGCTACTTCAAGTAGCCGACCTACTAAGGGTATTGCTGTACTTGTTATTCTTTTTATAAAGTATATAAATCAAAAGGGGGTGGCGGTCAGATCTATTCAATTCTGACGACATCCTATTCTCTTCTACTTCTCTTCCTTTCTCTTGCTGAAACCTTTCAACTTCTTTTCTTTTCTTCACAAAGATCATATAAAAAACAACTTTCAGCAATTTCTACTTGGTATCAGAGTAGGCCGAAAGCTACTTGAGCTGCTCCATCATGCAGCCCTAGATCGGCCGACTGCATGGTGAGGTGAGAGGCTGATCGAAGACCTTAGGTAAGCCTAGTTTTTGGATTTTTTGGTGGATCTGTATTGCCTTGTAGCTGGTCTAGGGTTTCCCACCAAATTTAGGAAAAACTGGAGAAAGGGGGAGAGTCTTGTTTTTGTAGGACTCTTCAATTTTGACCTAGGAAATGGCGTCCTAGTTTTTTAGGGTTTCTTGAAGTTTTCTGAAGAGGGCGGTTCAAGTCCCACCTATTTTGGAGGCCTCTGGAGGGAGTAGCTGCTTCTTTTCTCTCTTCTCTTGCTCTTGTGGAAAAGGAATCTTTTGTGAGAGGAGCTTCTAGGGTACTAGAAGGGTGTCTGTGGTGGTGCTTGAAGGAGATTATTACATATTTTTTCATCTTAAAGTGATTTCCTAACCCTTTTTTGGGAATAATGGAGGGTCACAGAGTTGAAAACAAACTGGGGAGTGAGATGAGACAAGAGGGAGGTGTTAGAGACCTTTTCGGGGTTGGGACCATCACTATAGTTAAGTTAGATGGTACAAACTATTTAGAATGGTCACAATCTATCAAGATGGCCATTGGTGCTCGTAGGAAGTTGGGGTATATCACTGGTGAGGAAGTGAAACCCGAGACTAACTACTCTCGATGGGTATAGGAGAATTATATGGTAATGACTTGGCTGTGCAATTCTATGCTGCCCCATATAAGTAAAAATTTTTTGTGGGCTAACACAACTAAGGAAATTTGGGATGGGGTTGCAAAAATCTATTCATAGAGTGAGAATGTTGCTAGGGCCTACCAGTTGAGAAACCAGGTTATTACTATCCGACAGGGAGATAAGCCTATTGCTGTTTATTTTTTAGCTCTTAAAACCCTATGGCAGGAGATTGACCATTTATCCTTTTTAGAGATAGTGTTACTCTCTTTCAGGCATATGCCTTTGTATCAGGAGAAGAGAGTAGGAGGAATGTGATGATGAAGAATTCGGGTCTTGAGCAGTTGGCTATGGTTAGTACTGTGAAACCTAAACAAAGTGGAGACAGGGGTGGAAATGAAATCAGGAAGGAAGATAAGAAGGATCTGATCTGTGACTACTGTAAGAAGCCTTGACACACGAGAGATACCTACTAGAAGCTTCACCTTCACCTTGTGCCGAATAGACTCAAAAAGAAGAAGGGAAATGTAAACATAGCAATAACTGGTGACTTGCGTGGACCTCCTACTACAACTACTT